GACGTCCGTTTCGAGGAGTCCACCCCGTACTACGTCAGGTACCCCAGTCGAGGTCTCCCAGTTCCTCCTCCCCCCCTCTTCCTGACAGCCGCTCCCCCGCCTGCTCCCCCGGTACAGCCTCCCCCCCCTGGTCCAGCCCCGTCTGGTGTGTCTCAGGCTAGCCCTCCCCCTTCGGTAGCCCCCCCTGTACAGCCTCCCTCCCCACAGTCTTCCTCACCGCCTCCTGTAGGTGCTCCCTCTCGGGAGGTTGGTCCTACGACTGTCCCTGTACAGGTCTCTGGTTCTGGGGGTGCTGGAGTTGGAGCTGAGCCGCGGGTTGCAGAGGACTCTTCTCCTCCGGGGGCTGGTACTGGTCGTGCGGAGTCTGGGGGTGCTGGTGCTGCGTCTGGGGGTGAGGGTGTTCCTTCGGTTTCTGGAGAGCCTGGGTCTGGAGCTGGTGTTGGTGCTGCCTCTGGGGGTGGTGTGCTTGGTGCTTCGGAGGTCGACTCTGGGGCTGCCGCTGCCCCGGACACTACTCCTTCCCCCCACCCCTACCCGACCAGGTTCCAGGCTCGTGTTCGCCGTGCTCGTGAGGAGCAGCTGGAGTTGGAGAGAGAGGAGAGAGAGTTGCAGCGGCTCGAGGAGCAGGAGCGACAGCGGCAAGAGCAGCAGCAGGAGCAGCAGCAGGGGCAGCAGCCGCTGGAGCAGCAGCAGCCGCAGCAGCCGCAGCAGCAGCAGCTGCCGTCTCCTCCTCCTGTCTCGGGTCTTCGGACCCTTGGTCTCCCCTCTCCCTCTCCTTCCTCCTCCCCCTCTCCTCCCGTCTCTGGTCCTCCGCTTCCTCCTCCTGACCCCTCTCCCGCTGTTTTCCCTCGTTCTCAGTCTTCGTTGTCCCCTCCTCCTTCTCAGACTTGGGCCTCTCGTCGCTCCCCTCGTGCTCGTCCCTCGTCTCCTGTTCCCTTCACTGACCTTCGTACTGCCTTACTTCGTTCTAGTCCACCTCGTCCGTCTCCGTCTGTGCTTCCGTCTCCTCCTGAGTCGGCTCTCACTGCGTCGCTCCCTACTCCTGTCACTGACTACTACCGCACGTACCGTCCTCTTCTCTCTCGTGTTCTCGCCTCACTTGTTACTCACCCTCGTGCCTCTGTGTCCTCTGTGTCCGCTCTTACTGCCGCAGTCACTGACTTTGCCTCTACCCGCCGCCTTGACTTCGCCACCGCTCTTGTGGCTGCTCCTCCTTCCAGTCCTCTGGCCGTCGGGGGTGTGTCTGCCCTTGGCTGTGACGCCCTAGAGGACAGGCAGTTTGAGCTAGAGTTCCTGGCGGCCGCTTCCCCTCATCTCTGTGCCATGCTCCTCGCCCCTGAGGGTGACCCCGACGCCCTTGACATTCCGACTCCTCGCACTTACGCTGAGGCAGTGTCAGGGCCTTGGGCCTCTCAGTGGAGAGCTGCCATGGACGTAGAGATGGCCTCCTACAGATCCACAGGCACCTACGTCGATGAGGTTCCCCCTCCGGGGGCGAACGTAGTTGACGGCATGTGGATCTACAGGGTGAAGCGGCCACCGGGATCTCCTCCGGTCTTCAAGGCGCGCTACGTGGCTAGAGGTTTCAGTCAGCGCGAGGGAGTTGACTTCTTTCAGACCTTCGCGCCCACCCCGAAGATGACCACTCTTCGGGTGTTACTACACGTAGCAGCACAGAGAGACTACGAGTTACACTCTCTCGACTTCTCCACTGCTTTCCTTCAGGGCAGTCTTCACGAGGAGGTCTGGTTGCGTCGTCCCTCTGCCTTCACTGGCTCTTTCCCTCCTGGGACCCAGTGGAGGCTGAGGCGACCGGTTTACGGTCTTCGTCAGGCTCCTCGTGAGTGGCACGACACCCTGCGTTCTACCCTGTCTGACCTTGGGTTCCAGCCGTCTTCTGCTGACCCGTCGCTGTTCGTTCGTCGTGGCACCACACCTTTCTTTGTTCTGGTCTACGTTGACGACCTTGTTTTCGCCACCCCTGACAGGGTTGCTTTGGCACACGTGAAGTCCGAACTGCAGAAGAGACACACCTGCACTGATCTTGGTGAGCTGCGCCACTACCTTGGCCTGCAGATCACCAGGGACAGAGCTGCTCGCACCATTACACTTTCACAGTCGCACATGGTGCAGCAGGTCCTTCAGCGGTTCGGGCTTCAGCACTCCACAGTACAGCGCACACCTCTTGCTGTTGACCACAGACTCACTGGACCCTTTCCTGACGAGCCGTTCGAGCCTAGTGGTCCCTACGCAGAGCTTGTGGGTTGCCTCATGTACCTGATGACTTGTACTCGCCCGGACCTCGCCTTCCCTCTCAGCGTTCTTGCGCGCTTTGTTGCGCCAGGGAGACACCGTCCTGTTCACTGGACAGCAGCTGTGAGGGTGGCGAAGTACCTAGCGACGACGTCAGGCGTGGGGCTAGTTCTTGGAGGGCAGCAGTCTGTCGTACTTACTGGTCACTGTGACTCCTCTTACGCTGACGACGCTGAGACTCACAGGTCTACTCAGGGGTACTGTTTCAGCCTGGGTTCTGGAGCTGTTTCCTGGCGGTCCACGCGCTCCTCTTCGGTCTCGACCTCTACAGCTGAGGCTGAGATCTACGCTGGTGCCATGGCGGCACAGGAGCTGCGTTGGTTGACCTTCTTGCTCACCGACCTTGGTGAGCGGCCGAGCTCTGCACCGACCTTGTTCACTGACAACAAGGCGTCTATTCTCCTTTGTCGAGAGCCACGACTGGAGAGCAGAGTGAAGCACATTCACGTCAGGTACTTTCTTCTGCGAGAGTTGCAGAGGCGTGGACAGGCTCGCTTTGAGTTTGTGGAGTCCGAGGCCAACACTGCAGACATCTTCACCAAGGCGCTTCCGCCTTGTGACCACCAGAGGTGCTGTGTGCAGTTAGGCCTTGTTGACACTGGTTCTCGTGTTGCTTAGACTTGAGTGTACTGTTTACTTTGCTTTCTATATATCTCTGTTACTTCTTGGACTGGCCTTGTGGCCACTGTTGTTTGTGCTCAGACTGTGTGGTGACGTTGTGATCCACCCTGAGCTTTGTTTCTTGGACTGGTCTTGTGACCGTACTCGTTTGGTTCTGCTAGACACCCCTCACTTAGGCTATGGGGGTGTGTCAAATGTTGTAGCCTATAGTGAGGTTTGTCTTAGGGGGTACAAAACTTAGGGTTAGCTATATGTACCCCAACCAACATCAATGCATCATCCATTCTTCATTTTGACAGTATTATGTCGAGATTCAAATCTCCTTCTACTGACAGAGTCCGTACCCGACATTACCTAGCAAACTTCCGCTGCTACACTTCCACGCGATCTACCTCAGAAAAATCATATAAGGCGGTTCAGATTGTACCAGTTCTTTTCGAAATGTGCGGCGGGGTTCGTTAAAGCGTAACACATGTCGCATTCGCGCGACCCTACCATTTGGTCGGATTTCAGGCTTGGTCGATACAATGTTACACGCCCTGAGGGCGCATGTCCTTGAGGTTGAACTTTTGCCTAAGTTCGAACTCTTAAAAGGTTCTATACGGTTGAATAAAATTGAAAGACGTAATGCCACGTTACAAAGCGGTACTAGGCTCGAACTTTGACAATCTACACCAAAAGACACGCGCCCTAAGACTAGATTGAAGTCTAGTTCTAATTCTATGGAGCTTATGACATACGCAAGAATGAGAAAGAGAGGATTTGAAGTTTGAAAAACAATTCTGTTCTTAGTTTGAACAAAATGCTGAGTTCGGCCTGCGAAACAGTTTGCGAAGAGCTGGTAACACAGTCTAGAATTTCAGTGAACAGCGAATGGTGGAGCATCAGACCGCACATCACTGTACAGTCTGATACTCACCGTACACCTTGTTCTCGATTATTTCACACCTTCTAATTTCACACCCCGACTCGGGATCACCAGCAAAGGCTTTGGGCTGCCTAGCTGGCGAACCGTGAGGGATCATTGAAGCGAGATGTGCAGAAATGATCGGCTTTTTATACTGTCAGCAAGCCAGAGAAGTGGGGAAGCTGGGGTCTGTTCGGGTCGTGTTCAAAAGTGGGAAACAAGACGGTTTCAATATCTGTTGCAACTCTTGAAGTTATAACGACTGGACTGGATTTGCTACAAACACGTGTTACTTGGGAAGTCGCCCATGTGTCGAAATTAAACCTGATCATGAATAAATCCTCAATTTTGGGAGCCCAAAATCAGAATCGAATTTGTGGTCAGGGTTACGATAAACGCAATCCTGACGTGACTGTTTTTCATTGGATGCAAAGATTTTTCAAGATCGTCAACACTCTCTGGGTCTATTCAAGTCATGTTTCATTCCCTGCCAGCACAGCTGTACCGCGCCTCGATGGTGAAATTATCAGGGACAATTTGCCCCCTTAATTTCACACCCTCTCGGGCAAAGGAAATCGCGGTTCGGGATTTGGGGCCGTGAAATTATCGAGAACAGGGTGTACCGCGAAACGATTTGGCGGGACAGAGAATTGAACTGCGAGATTTGGTTCGACTGACACTGTTCTAGTGCGACCCGAAAAGCTCCAGGGAGCGGGAACTGTATTCTTGACAGAGCGTTGCGCTGGGCAGGATTTCTTCGGTGTTGGTGGATTTTTGTTTTCTTCACTGCTGCTGCGCGGATATTGTTTTCCTGTTTGGTGACTATGAAGTGCGAAGTACAAGAGGACCATTTATAACAGGTTCACACAAAATCAACGTCACAAAACTAAACTTATATAATAGAGTACATACAAGGCAGTGATTTAACTACAACACCAAGGGAATCCTAAAGCTTCAACGCTAAGGTCCTTCGACGCTGCTCTTCAACTGAATTTGCCACTTGGATCTTGACCCCTCTTGGCCGCTAGGAGCAAGCTCCTAGCGTTTCACCCGTACACCGCGTTGAGGTGGGGGTTATTCGTACGGGACACCTGTGGGAAACAGGGGGCAAAAATTAGATTGTTCTGCCACCGGGCAGACCACCTCAAATATCCGTATGTCAGATGTAAGGGTGAAGGCGCCTCGAGTCAGGGATGCTCCACGGCTGCTGAGATGGGAAACCCATCACCCAACCACCCCAACGTCCCTCGAACCCGTACCACGAGTACCACGAGCGCGCGTCGCATCTAAATACCTGTACCACGTGGTCGCTCCTACTCGCCACCCCGTCTCTCCTACTCGCCACCCCGTCGCTCCTACTCGCCACCCCGTCGCTCCTACTCGCCACCCCGCCGCTCCTACTCGCCACCCCCGACCTTACCAACTCTCACCCTTCAGCAGTGCCGTGCCGAGCAGTGTCGTGCCGAGCATTGCCGTGCCGAGCAGTGCCGTGCCGTGCCGTTCTTCTGCTCCTCCGCCACGACCTGGAAAGGAAGGAGAGGGAGAAAACGGTGAAAGCTCCAGCGGCCTCCCCTCCACGAAACCTGCGCACTAAAACACGAAATAACGTTAGTAAAACCGATGAAAACGAGATGAAAACAAGAACAGAAAATACAGGAAAAACAAGACAAGAAAGGCACGACAAAGCTCGACAAACACGACATAGGTAGAGAAACTCACCCTTGGTTTCGTTCCTCCAGCCACGACCTCCCGTCCGTTGTGCTCCTCCTCCATTGACCTGAGGAGTCAAGACAGAGAGGGAGACAGAAGGGAAAGAGTGAAGCTCCAGCGGCCTCCCCTCCATGAAACCTGCGCACTAAAAACACGAAATAACGTTAGTAAAACTGATGAAAACAAGATGAGAACAAGAACAGAAAGAACAGGAAAAACAAAGACAAGAAAAGCACGACAAAGCGCGACAAACACGACATAGGTAGCGAAACTCACCCTTGGTTTCGTTTCTCCAGCCACGACCTCCCGTCCATTGTGCTCCTCCTCCATTGACCTGAGGAGACAAGACAGAGAGAGAGAGACAGAAGGGAAAAAGTGATAACACCGGCATCCCCTCGCGTTACCTGCACCAAAAAGGAAGAAGCGGAAAGGAGTTAGTAAACGTGCGAAATAAAAGCAGCAAAAAGCGGAAAACAACCTAACCGTTTTTACCTTCATGTCGGCGTTGCTTCATTGCGGTTGCGCCTGCACCACGAGAGGCTAACAACGACATCATTCGTTAACCGCGTCAAAGAAAAAAGCAAAAGCACGACAAAAGCACGAAAGAAAGCACGACGAAAAGCGCGACCGGGCTCGAGAGGCTTACAAACGATTACCTTTCTTGTCACGATCCGCCGCGCCTTGTGCTCCTCCGCCGCTTTCTTGGGAGAGAGAAGAGAGAGGAATAAAATGAGGTGATAACACCCGCGTCCTCCTCGACCGTTGTGCTCCTCCCCCCTTAACGCCTTCGTTGTCGCTGCGGGTGGAACGGAAGAGAAGAAGACGAGGGGGACGTGAGATGCGCCTCTCTCCACGCTGTGAAGTCGCTCCTCGCCGTGAAGGCGCCGGGGAGACGCCGTGATGCCACGCCACGCCCGTGAAGCATGTCGAGGTTGTCTCGGAGACGCCGGGAAGTCGCGCCACGCCGTTGACACGCCGACGTGATGCCGCGCGGAGGGATGCCGACGAGATGCCGCGCGGACGGCGTGCAGATCGCGACGCCATGACGTTGTCGTGGCGCCGTCTTGATCTTGTGAAGCGGCGTCGGAGCGTTAAGCTGAAGACGACATCCCTGTAAATCATAGAGACATTTAAGATTAGGCCCGCCGATAGGTAAAACATTAAAGCACGACAGCCTTATCCTGGTTGCTCGCGGCGCCATGAATTTTTCAAGTGAAAAAAATCTTCAAAGGGCAGCAGTCTTGAAATGTCTTCAAATTACAGCAGCGTTCAGATCTACTCAGGTTGAGGCTAGTAGATACGTTCTGAGAAGGGAGGCGAGGAGCACCATCGAGGCACACGAATCAGCCAAAAGCATGTTGCAAAGCGTGCGCTGCTAGCCTATGCTGCGACTCTGCGCTGCGACGCTGCGCTGCGAGCCTATGCTGCGACGCTGCGCGCCTATGCTGCGAACCTACGCGCGACGCTGCGACGCTGCGAGCGCACACACGCTCTGCTGCATGCCTTTGGCTGACTCGGGCTTTCCGGTGCTCCTCAAAAGAAAATATCGTCGACGATAATGAGTTTTTTCGACTGAATGAAGTTGAAATGGACATTTAGTGGTTACTTGAGCTAATTGACGGGAGAAGGTTTGTGTGAAAGATGGTGCCGTGTGCGCGAATCTCAGTTGGATGGAGTTTCTGGTAACGATGGGGTTCGAGAATCGAGGGTGGCAAAATGCCGCCGCTAAATTCGAACGGCTCGATGGAATCTCGAGGGTGATAAAAAAGTTGCCGCTAGATCTGAACGGCGTCGATGTAATCTCATGCATATTTTGGTGTCCGTGGGAGTCACAATGACTAGGGTGATATGATGGGAGCAACTGGTGCGAGAATCTGTGAATGTTCCTCGAGATCGTGCGATCTGTGCGAATCGCGGTCGTAAAATCTGAAAGTTGTGGGGATTGCAAATCGAGGGTGGTATAATGCCGCCGCTAAATCTGAACGGCCTCGAATCGCGCCGTCCGCCTACGGCCGTGCCAGACCGCCAAAAACATCAGCTAAAGTTCTTATGGCGTCTGGGGGAGTCAGAACGACGGATGATTCCGTATGATGGGAGCAACTGGTGCGAGAATGTGCCTCGTCGTGAGATGTGCTGCTGCCTGTGCGAATCGCGGTCCATAATTTTGAAAGCTCTGGGGATTGTGGTGAATCAAGGGTGGCAGATAGCGCCGCAAAAACGACACCCTGGATTGAAGAGTGAGGCAGGTCCCCACCAACAGTCGACGGCCAGACCGCTAAATTGTGCCAACGAATCTTGTGCTGGGAGAACGATTGGCTGGCACGATGAAGCCGTCGCTGAGCCGTAGATACCCGTGTGTAGCTGTTTCCGTGTGCCCCAAACTGTATTTTGTTGAACACACAGTTTACTGTAATTTGGTTGTATTGGGTGCGGCTTTGCTCGTATACAGAGTGTGACACAAGATTAGGGCTAGCCCCACCGAGAGGTTCCAAGTCACGCGCCTAAATATGATGCGTTGCTCAGTGAGGCGCGACGCGGCGACTACTAGAATGGATGACCGACGAGTAATGTCAGAGGCCGGGAGGGGATTTGCAAGTCAGAGGTTGGGAGGTTGTGGTGGCTGAAATGTGTACAGTAAATCAACAAACCTGATACAATCTAAACAGTTTCACACCTTCAATTTACACAATTTGGTTTGCTTTGTATTCTGCAAACGAGTCATTTCAAGGCGAGTCTCGCTGGCGGAAGGGCTCCCTAGTAAGTTCGGGGCAGGAGTGAACTGCTAGGAGCAATGTGACGTGGCAGTTCTTGTCATGTTTGCGTAAGGTGCGGAGTGCTAGGAACTGGTCGAAAATATTTATATGCTGAGCTATCAAGAAGTTGAGCTTCTCTCGCAACTCCCTTTGCTGGTTGTGAGTGAACCAGGTTCGGGCAGCTGAAATCTCAGAAAATCGTTTAGATAGGTTTGTGAGCCAATGGGATTCGAGGGTGTTTTGGTCCACCATCGATCAACCACCATTTGTATCAACCCACTTTGGCATACTCGGTTTCCGATAACCTTCGTCATCTCACCGTCCTGTCTAGGTCTTTAGTCCGTTAGATCTTAGCGCTAAGCTTAAGCACTAGGCTCTTTACCGTCGCTTCTCGGTTTCCATCCCGCATGGCTTCTCGATCTAATCGCAGTTTAAGTCTTAGCGCCGTAGATAGTGTCAGTCGCGGTTGTCACCCGTAGTGTGAGCCGCTTCACGTAAGGAAGTAAGTACGATTTATAGATAGCGTGCAGTATCTAGTAGTACGATGTGTAGATCGCGTCTCGGGTAGTAACGTTTATTTGCGGACGGATTGATAACATCGATTTTTGGGCACTTCATATTATTTGCGGACACATTTATTAGTATCCATGTGTGGGCCCACAGACATGTAAGCGCTTACCATGCAGATGCGTTATTAGCTTCACTTCGTATGCGCGTGGTAACCGTCGGTACGCCCATTCGATGTCGTCAGGTGAATAGGGAAAGGCGCATTGAAGCGGACCGTTACCGCGCAAGACGTTAAAACAAGGGAAAGGTGAGCTGTACGTGAGTGTGCGGGGTGAGCTGTTCGTGTGTGTGTGCTGTACCCCCCTTCCCTAACCGCTTTCATCTCGTCCTCTTATCGCTCACCGCTCATCTACTTTCTGTTCGTCACGCAGTTCTCACTGCTATTTTCCTCTTTCCCCCGTACTCTCTTCCCCGCTTTCATCTCGTCTCCTTACTGCTCACCCCTCATGTCCCCTCTGCTCGTTGCTCAGTTCTCCCCGCTCTCCCCTCTTCCCCCCACTCCTCCCCCCTCCTCCCCGCTTTCATCTCCTCTCCTTACCGCTCACCCCGCAGGTCCCCTCTGCACTTAGGTGAATGCGCCCTGTTCTCCCCTCGTCCGCATCCCTCTGTGAGCCCGTCTCCCCTCCGCTCTCCTCTCATCTCCCCCCCCTGTTCACCCCTCATATCCCCTTCTTTCCCTTTTTTTCTCCACCTCCCACCTCATTTTCCCCTTCACTCATTCCGCATCTCCCTCAGCTCTTTCCGCATCTCCCTCAGCTCTTTCCGCATCTCCCTCAGCTCTTTCCGCATCTCCCTCAGCTCTTTCCGCATCTAACCCAGCTCTTTCCGCATCTCCCCCAGCTCTTTCTGCATCTCCCCAGCTCTTCCGCATCCCACCCCCACTCACCCCTCTTCTTCCCGCCGCTCTCCCCTCATCTACCCACCGCACCCCTCACTTCCCTTCCTCTCCCCCTTTATCTCATTCCTCCCCCACCCCCTGTTCACTCACACCCCATCTTCCCCTTCCCCCCTCCCCCCTCCCTTTCCAACCATTCAACCGTTTCCTCCATCCATCCATCCATCCATCCCTCCATCCATGTCTCTCCCTCCATCCCCCCTGCCGTTTCCCTCCTCTCTCCCCTCCTCTCCCCTTCTCACCCCTCCTTCCCTTCCAACACTCACCCCCCCCCTTACCCCAACACTCACCCCTTCTTCCCCCAGCATTCACCCCCTCTTCCCCCCAACACTCACGCCTCACCCAAGTATGTCAACTTCCTCTTTCCCCGCTCTGCCTTCAACTCCCCTCCGCTCTCCCCGCATTTCCCCCTCCCGTTCACCCCTTATTCCCCACCACTTGTTTGATCCGGCCTTTCACTGGCACGAAATCAACCAGATACAGGCGCGTGAGGTGGTGCTGTTGCCTCTTCCAGAGACTCCAATGTGGCATCAAATGGCGGGTGGTGTCTGCATATCTTCAGGCCGATGGGCAGAGAGGCGGGAGGCAGGGCATCAGATGGCGGGTGGTGTCTGCATATCTTCAGGCCGATGGGCAGAGAGGCGGGAGGCAGGGCATCAGATGGCGGGAGGGTGCATCAGATAACCGCCGGTAGTGCGCCGATTCGATGTCGTTGGGTGATGAAGAGAAGGCACATTGAAGGGGACCGTTACCGCGCAAGAGGGCAAAACAAAGAGATGGTGAGCAGTTAAGGAGTGTCCGGGATGGGGGAGGAGGGGGGAGAGGGGGATTGCAAGGTTCGGTTGGGTGTGGTGGTGTGGTTTGATGTGGTTGGGTGGGGTTGGCATCTCTCATTTAAACCTTAAACCCTAACCCCGTTCTCCCTTCATTGCCCCAGCTCGCCCCCCATTTCTCCGTTCCTTACTCTATCTCCTTACCGCAGCTGACCTCTCAGCTCGCCTCTGCTCTTTGCTCTTTGCTCTTTTCTCTTTTCTCTTTTCTGCTCTTTTCTCTTTTCCCCTTCGCCCTCCCTCCCCGCTTGCATCTCGTTTCATTGCCACTCATCCCTCGGTCCCATTTGCTCTTCGCTCGAATCACCCCCTTTCCCCTCTCGTCCCCTCACCTCCCCTTTCCCTTCCCCTCCCAGCTTTCATCACATCTCGTCACGGCGCATCCCTCGGTCCCCTTTGCTCTTCACTCAAATCACCCCTGCTCTCCCCTCGTCCTCGTTCCTCGTTTCTCCCCCCCTCCCTCCCCCCCCTCCCTGCTTTCATCTCGTCTCCTTACCCCTCACCTCTCAGCTCCCCTCTTATCTTCGCTGAATTCGCCCCGCTCTCCCTCGTCCCCACCCGGCTTTTAGCTCATCTCCCATCCGCTCTCCTCTCATCTCCCCCCCTCCGTTACCCCTCGTTCCCACTGGTGATGCTGCTGGTGATGCTGGCGCTGGTGGTGGTGGGGGTGTTGGTGGGGCGGGCGGGAGGGGGGTGGGATGTGGTAGGGGAGAGGGGGGATGGGGAGGAGGTTGGGGAGGAGTGGGATGAGAGGAGGGGAGAGGAGAATGGGGCAGGGGAGGATGGGGTAACGAGATAGGACAGAGTGGGGGTGATGGAACTGGTGGGGACACCGCAGTGGTGGTGGAGTGTATGCAGTACAGTGCGCGATTCCATTATCTGCGATATTGTTTTACGGTACCAATGGCAAGGCGATGTGTTTTCTCATGCATTGTTTCCTTCGTGGCTCTACATTCCCCCCCTACCCTCTCCCAGGTGTGCATGCCTGCCTGACGACCAAAATGAAGCAGTTGCTTGGTGAGCTGAGGGCCATGGGGATATTAGTAGTGCGCTTGTAGCCATCCCACTGCCGACTGCTGCTGCTCAATGCTCATCCTAGAATCAAGCATCCCCCCTCGCAATTTTAATTACCGTAGTACGCTGGGCTACGTACTTCACTGCTCTGTGAAAACACTTTTACCCAGACTTGCTAACATAAAGTCGATTTGCAGGGCGGGCACAAATGCTGAGGGTGCGTTCCTAGAGAGTGGCACAAAAGCCTTGTGTCTCAGAGCGTGTTCCTACGGCCTCGTATCAGGCAACCTCGCATCAGATTCGTGTCGAATCGCACTAAAACGCATCCATCCGCATGTGAACACACTGAAGCGTATTTCACCACGCGAAGCTGATACGAGGTGTTTCTGATACGAGGTGTTTCTGATACAAGCGTATTTCACCCCCTTCTCCCCTACTCCTCCCCCACCCTATTCCCCCTTTCCCATCTCCCCCTTTCCCATCTCCCCCTTTCCCATCTCCCCCTTCCCCTCCCTTGCTCCCCCTCCCCACTGTAACCTTCCCCGCTCTCCGCCCTCTCCTCCCTCTCCTCGTCCCTCCCCATCCATTCCTCAGCGCACAAGCTAGTCAACACCCGCTCCACCTCCCCCGATTCCTGTTCCCCCACTCCCCTTTCCCCCACTCCCCTTTCCCCCACTCCCCTTTCCCCCACTCCCCTTCCCCCTACTCCCCTTCCCAGGTGCAAGGCACGGATGCAGCCAATCTCGAGCTGACACGTGTCGCACAGCGGGACATCTGGGCTCACCAGATGCTGACGTCAGCAGCAGCAGGGGGAGAAGGACGCGGAGGCGGAGAAGGGGGGGAAACGTGTGAGGGGAGGCGGTTGCTGGTGGTTCCGTGGATGCCCACCGCCCGCCACGTCAGCGCTGACTCGTTCCACGTCATCGCGAGTCAGATCAACGTCATGGGGGATTTTCTGGGCCTGGCAATGCAGCACAACCGCACGCTGGTCGCCCTGCCTGGCAGCTACGGGCCCGCTCTCAACAGTGATTGCAAGGGTGCGTTATTGTATGGGGGGATGAGGTGATTGTAGGGGGTGTGAGTGGGATAATGGTGCGGATGGGAGGGAGGTCCAATGCAGCACAACCGCACGCTGGTCGCCCTGCCTGGCAGCTATGCGCCCGCTCTCAACAGTGATTGCAGGGGTGGGTGATTTAGCCAATATAGTCTATAGGGGGAGTGGATGATTATGGGGGTGGGTGGAAGGACCACTGCAGCACAACCGCACGTTGCTCCCCCTGTGGGCTCCTGCTCATGCCGGCTCCTGCTCATGCGAGCTTCTGCTCATGCGGGCTCCTGCTCATGCGGGAATGTACACTTATGAACATACAGAGTTGAACTTGCCAGGCGAGTGGACCTGCTTCTTCCCCTCGCCCATTCTTCATGCTGCTCCCTCTGCGTGTCTCTGTGTCTTCTTGTGTGTGCCTCTGGGCCTCTCTCTCTGCGACTCTGTGTGTGGTGTGTGCAATCACGAACGTGCAGATTTGAACCAAACGGGCGAGTGGACGTGCTTCTTCTTCCCCCTCGCTCACCCCGCCTGCTCCTCCCTCATCTCCCACCTACAAGCCAACGGTCGCATGCCCACCTGCCTCTCGTTACAGTCACAACACCCACAGTCACGATCCCTGTTACAGTCACAGTCGTCGATATTGTCACAGCTGCAGCATCACCTGGCGTCGCCTCAGGAGGTTGTGTGCATCGATACTAACTTTCCAACAGAACCCATGGCTGCTAGTGCATCAGTGCATAGTGCATCAGTGCATAGTGCATCAGTGCATAGTGCATCAGTGCATGGCAGTTCCCCAGTTGCTGCTGAAACGGCTCCTGCTGCTGCCTCTGCCGCAGCACCAGCACCGGCAGCAGCAGGATCAGAAACATCACCGTCGGCAGTCTCGGAAGCAGCAGCATCAGCAGGGGCAACAGCGGTAGCAGGGGCAGCAGCAGGGGCAGCAGCAGGGGCAGCAGCAGGGGCAGCAGCAGGGGCAGCAGCAGGGGCAGCAGCAGGGGCAGCAGCAGGGGCAGCAGCAGGGGCAGCAGCAGGGGCAGCAGCAGGGCCAGCAGTAGGGGCAGCAACGTCATTGGCATCAACCATCCAAGCAGCAGCGGCAGCGGTTGTGAGCCGATGGGGCTATCCCCATAAGCAGCGACCCGTTATGGTGGATAGGCAGGGCGCACTGTACACCATGTCGGACGAGAAAGCTCAGGTGAATCGGACTAAGGATGTGGAATAAAAAAAACTGGGTTTCAATCCCAATCCCCACAGGACCTCATCAAATGTTTGTATGAAAATTCTAGAGCTGGGTTGAGAAAAAAACCCACCAGTTCCCTCCCCTTCTCCCTTACCCCCGCTTGCAGCTCTGGTTCCTTCCCTCGTCACCCGGACCAGAATTCCCTTTACTTCCAGTCCAGCAAACCTTTGGCCCATCCCCTTTTCCCCTCTCCTCCCCCTTCCCCCTCCGCCCCCCCCTTTCCTGCAGCTTCACTGGTGGCGATCCCAAGCCACTCGCTTCTTCCTCCGCTGGCCCTCCCTCCACCTCTGCCACGTCATCAACCGCGAGCGCCACATCAGCACTGGCCTCCACGTCGCTGCCAGCCTGGCACCCACCATCGCCGCCCAAGCCTCTCTCCTCCACTCCCTCTCATCCGGGTCTGTTCCCGGCACGACTGCTGCTACCAATACAACGTTTGCAGTCCGGTATTCCAAGAATCTGCCGAATACAACAGAAGAGGCGGCTGTGTTGGCTGAGGTTGGGAAGGCTAGTGCACAGGCGCATGTGCTTTCAACGCATATTTCTTCCTCCTTTGCTGCTGCTTCTGCTTCTGCTGCTTCTTCCGATTCCTCGTCCTCTTCCTCCTCCTCTCCTACCGTCTCCTCTCTCCTCCACTCCCCCAACTCCTCCCTACTGGAAACACATGTGTGGGTGGGGAGGGATGGGCCGAGGCGAGTGAGTGCGCGCGCTGGGGGGAGAGTGAGGAGCGAAGGAAAGGGAGGGAGTGAGGGAGGGAGTGAGGGAGCGAGTGAGGGAGAGAGTGAGGGAGGTGCCAGCAGCATCAACGCTATGGGAAGGCTGTGTGGGGCCACAATGATGGCTAACACAACAGTAGATGAGCTTATAGCGAGTACAGGAAGGGGCGAGCTGTTGACTCTAGACGCGGTGACTATAGCGCTGGGCGGGGAACCCTACCTGCCTCGTCCAATGGCAGCTGTACACGTCAGCAGAGGGGATGAGGCAAGGACTGAAGGGGCAGGAGAAACGGCAGGAGGAGCGGCAGGAAAAACAGTAGGAAAGTCGGGAGATCAACTGATGGCAGCAGTATCGCAAGCATTGCAGCGGCTGCAGTGGCTGAGTCCCGACCTGAGGAGAGTGTGGCTGTCTGGAGATGCACGTGGGACGGCGGTGAGTAAATCATTCTTGTTGGTTCACAAGGCACGAAGCTATTGCAAGCACTATGGCGGCTGAATTCAGACCCGAGGAGAGTGTGGCTGTCTGGGGATGCACGTGGGACGGTGAGTGAGTCATTCTAGTAGATTAGGGAGAAACTATGTTGTGTTTTTTTATGACACAAATACCATCGCTATCCACTCCCCTCCCTTACACTCCCCCCCCCCCCTTCACCCCCTCCGTTCCTCAGCCCATCCAGCAGCATTTGGAGGAGCGTAATTGGGCCCTCCTACACTCCACTCTCACCCGCAACCCACCAACACTGCTGCCTTCTTCTGCTCATTCTTATAACTCATGCACCATCTCCCCTCCGCTAACACGCTCCCCTCCCCTCCCTTCCGTTCCCAGCCCATACAGCAGCATTTGGAGGAGCGTGATTGGGCCCTCCTACACTCCACTCTCACCCGCAACCCACCAACACTGCTGCCTGCTGCTGATGCTGCAGCCGATGCAGCAGGAGCAGGAGGAGGGGAAAGAGATGGATTGGAAAGTTTGGCCTCAGCAGCAGCAGGAGCAGAGGCGTTGCCAGAAGCAGCAGTTGTGTTTGCTGACCTGCTGACATCGTCCCTCACAGATTTCCTCATTGCTGACATCAGCACGGAATCTGGCGACTTTATTCACGAGCTTAGGTGCACCAACGGCCGACTCTTCTCCCCCGTGTGTGATTTGAGTCTGACATGACACTGACCTACTAAATCGAATATGTGTGAATGGCAGTAATGTCTTCATTTGAGTGCAAGAGAATCCCTTTCCACACGATTTTTTTCCGCAATTTGGAGCCAGATGCATATCCATGTATGGATGATCATGGGGGGGGGGGGGGGGGGGTGTAGCACAGAAGAAAACCCCCGGGCCTTTAAGTCGGAAGTGGGTCTTTTACCGTGTCCACCTAGATAGAAGCGCACCCATTTACTTGGTGCATGTGCATATATCCAGGCGAATGTGCTTATAGGCGGTTGGTTGCCAATCATACTTGTTACCATATCTGTTACTAACATAACGGATACGTCGCCCGTCGCGTCCATTATGTACTTGTTACCATAACGAAATTATAACCAGCGCACTAGTTATCATAACGCACCCGTTACATTAACTCACATGCTACAATAACGAACCTGTTACCATAACGCATCTGTAACGATAACGCACCTGTTATCATTAATAAAATGTTAGCATAACACATCTGTACCATAACGCACATGTTACCATAATGCACCTCTTACAGGGCCCAAAATATCAGGGTAAAATGCCCTGATTACCCTTGGGGGCGGCCGCTTTTTCGGAGTTACCCTTTCAAAATCAGGCTTCGAAGATTTTTACCCTTACGCAAAAAGAGTTGGTTTTTTAAACACTGATAGCGATTTCGGTTACCCTGGCTGTATCAGGGTGCGCTGTACAGTACACTGATACAGAAACCTCCGTAGAGGGGATTTTACTTGCGAATTCGCAAAATGAACTGGCGATTTACGATATTCAAACCCGCTAACTTTCTCTGTCCAACAGCACGTGCTACCAGCTGAGACACATCACCAACAACTGAAGTCGAAATTTATTTATAAGAATAGAACATAGTCACACTGTCACACTGGACTGGCAACGCAACCTTGAATCGAGCCACACCACGCCACGCCCACTGCCAGCTGAGCAGAGTTGCGCGTCAAGGACAGCTTCGTGCTACTTTATTGTTACTGTAAAAATTACTAGTAGTGAAAACAAGCTAGGTATAGAAATACCCTCCTCAAATCAGTGTAATGGTAGATTTACCCTGCTGCCAACAGGGTACGGAAAAAAATACCCTACGGGTCAGGGTAGGGGGGGGATGGAACCCTGATTTGTCAGGGTGGGCCTAAACCAATTTTGGGCCCTGACCTCTTACCATAATTCACATATTACTATAACACACATGTTACAATACGCAAATGTTACTAAGGCACCTGTTACCACAACGCACTTGTTACCATAACGCACCTGTTACCATAAAGCACCTGTAACCATAACACACATGTTATCATAATACACATATAACTGTAACGCATATATTACCACTATGCACTCGTTACTATAGCGCACCCATTACCATTACGCACCTGTTACCATAACGCATGTGCTACCGTAACGCACATATTACCATAACATACACGTTACCATAACGCATATGTTACCGTAACGCACCAGCATCGAACGACCTGAATGTTGTTGTATATCCAGATGGCCCATGCTCAAATACACCTACCAGAGCAATTCCAGCTTGGTTCGTGCGCACAGAAAAGTTCGGCGCCTGCGATGACGGTTGTGTCTGCCGACAAATGGTTATGAAGCGCATGGATCCCTATAGGCGTAGGGAAAAGCATCAAACGACCTGAATGTTGTTGCATATTCGGGTGGCCCATGCTCAAATACACCTACCAGAGCAATTCCAGCTTGGTTCGTGCGCACACAAAAGTTCGGCGTCTGCGATGACGGCTGTGTCTGCAAACAAATGGTAACGAAGCGCATGGATCCCTATAGGCGTAGGGAAAAGCATCGAACGACCTGAATGTTGTTGCATATTAAGGTGGCCCATGCTAAAAAACACATGCCACAGCAATTCCAGCTTGGTTCGTGCGCACAGAAAAGTTCGGCGCCTGCGATGACGGCTGTGTCTGCCGACAAATGGTAACGAAGCGCATGGATCCCTATAGGTGTAGGGAAAAGCATCGAACGACCTGAATGTTGTTGCATATTCGGGTGGCCCATGCTCAAATACACCTACCAGAGCAATTCCAGCTTGGTTCGTGCGCACAGAAAAGTTCGGCGCCTGCGATGACGGCTGTGTCTGCCGACAAATGGTAACGAAGCGCATGGATCCCTATAGGTGTAGGGAAAAGCATTGAAAGACCTGAATGTTGTTGCATATTCGGGTGGCCCATGCTCAAATACACCTACCAAAACAATTCCAGCTTGGTTCTTGCGCACTGAAAAGTTCGGCACCTGTGATGACGGCTATGTTTGCCGACAAATGGTAACGAAGCGCATGGATCCCTATAGGCGTAGGGAAAAACATCGAACGACCTGAATGTTGCATATTAAGGTGGCCCATGCTAAAAAACACCTACCAGAGCAATTCCAGCTTGGTTCGTGCGCGCAGAAAGTTCGGCGCCTGCGATGACGGCTGTGCCTGCCGACAAATGGCAACAAAGCGCATGGATCCCTATAGGTGTAAGAAAAAGCATCGAACGACCTGATTATTGTTGCATATTCTGGTGGCCCATCCTAAAAAATGCCTACCAGAGCAATTCCAGCTTGGTTCGTGCGCACCAAAAAGTTCGGCGCCTGCGATGACGGCTGTGTCTGCCGAAAACTGGTAACGAAGCGCATGGATCCCTATAGGTGTAGGGAAAAGCATCGAACGACCTGAATGTTGTTGCATATTAAGGTGGCCCATGCTAAAAAACACATGCCACAGCAATTCCAGCTTGGTTCGTGCGCACAGAAAAGTTCGGCGCCTGCGATGACGGCTGTGTCTGCCGACAAATGGTAACGAAGCGCATGGATCCCTATAGGTGTAGGGAAAAGCATCGAACGACCTGAATGTTGTTGCATATTCGGGTGGCCCATGCTCAAATACACCTACCAGAGCAATTCCAGCTTGGTTCGTGCGCGCAGAAAAGTTCGGCGCCTACGATGACAGCTGTGTCTCCCGACAAATGGTAACGAAGTGCGTGGATCCCTATAGGCGTAGGGAAAAGCATCGAACGACCTGAATGTTGTTGCATATTCGAGTGGCCCATGCTTAAATACACCTACCAAAACAATTCCAGCTTGGTTCGTGCGCACTGAAAAGTTCAGCGCCTGTGATGTCGGCTATGTTTGCCGACAAATGGTAACGAAGCGCATGGATCCCTATAGGCGTAGGGAAGAACATCGAACGACCTGAATGTTGTTGCATATTAAGGTGGCCCATGCTAAAAAACACCTACTAAAGCAATTCCAGCTTGGTTCGTGCGCGTAGAAAGTTCGGCGCCTGCGATGACGGCTGTGCCTGCCGACAAATGGCAACGAAGTGCATGGATCCTATCAGAATAGCTAGGCAAGAATGATTGAACTAGCAGAAGTTTGGGTACAAATATGAAACCCTAGTTGGGGTTGTACCCCATATTGGCTACCCCACTACAGCCTACAAGCATAATACAGTTTAACACACCCCCATAGGCAAAGTGGGGGAGAACAAAGGGTCACAAGACCAGTCCAGCAAAGCAAAGCAAAGCCCAGGGTGGATCACAACGTCACCACACTCCGAGCACAAGTAAAGGCCACAAGGCCAGTTCACATGCAGTGCTAGATATAGTACAAGACAAGCAACACAGTGATCAAAACCTAGCAAGCAAGCAACAAGATATATATAAAGTACAGTACAAAGAATGTCAAGCAGTGAGCAAGTGAGGAAACGTGGACACAAGGCCTAAAGAAGTACAGTGCCGCTGATGATCACTAGGCGGGAGCGCCTTGGTGAAGATATCAGCAGTGTTGGCCTTCGAGTCCACGTACACAAGCCGAAGCTGACCGCGCTGCTGAAGCTCTCGAGCAAGAAAGTAGCGAAGAGCAATGTGCTTCGTCCTGTGCTCCAGTCTGTGCTCCTGACACAAGGCAAGAGCCGCCTTGTTGTCACCGTACAGAACTGGAGGAGAACTAGGCCGCTCGCCCAAGTCAGTCAGCAGGTAGGTGAGCCAGCGTAACTCCTGTGCAGCCATGGCTGTGGCATAGATCTCAGCCTCACAACTAGAGCCGAGAACAGAGGAAGAGCGGGTGGACCGCCACGAGACAGAACCAGAGCCAAGGCTGAAGGTGTAACCCTGTGACGACCGCTGCGTAGCCAGGTCGTCCACCCAAGAAGCGTCCGAGTGACCAGTGAGGACAACTCTCTCGCGTCCTCCAAGCACCAGCCCCATGCCTGATGTACTGCACAAGTAACGCAGCACCCTCTTAGCAGCCTCCCAGTGCTCTCGCCTGTGTCTCCCAGGCGCAACGTAACGAGCAAGGATGCTAAGAGGGTACGCGAGGTCAGGTCGCGTGCAAGTCATCAGGTACATGAGGCAGCCTACAAGCTCTGGGTACGGGCCACTCGGCTCTACGGACTCGTCCGAAGGTGGAGCTGAGAGCGAGTGGCTGGTAGCCAGAGGTGTGGCCTGTGGTGAGGAGAACTGGAAGCCGAAGCGCTGAAGGACCTGCTGCACCATGTGTGACTGAGTCAGGGTGATGGTGCGGCGAGCTCTGTCCCGGGTGATCTGCAAGCCAAGGTAGCTACGCAGTTCACCCAGATCAGTGCAGGTGTGTCTCTTCTGCAGCTCCGACTTCACACGAGCGAGTGCCTCAGTGTCAGCAGTAGCAAAGACCAAGTCGTCGACGTACACGAGAATGTAGAACGGCGGCAGCGACGTGTCTGTGCGCAGAAACAGCGACGGGTCAGCAGTAGACGGCGCGAACCCAAGAGCCGCAAGTGTAGTCCTCAGTGTGTCGTGCCACTCACGTGGCGCCTGGCGGAGACCGTAGACTGGCCGGCGGAGACTCCACTGGGTACCAGGGGGAAACGACCCAGTAAAGCCAGGTGGGCGGCGCAGCCAGATCTCCTCGTGCAGGCTGCCCTGCAGGAACACTGTGCTGAAGTCAAGAGAGTGAAGCTCGTAGTCACGCTGAGCAGCAAC